AGACTGGATATGGCACTTAGTGCCATGGTCTAGTAACCACGGTAGGGTTGGACTTGATGATCTTGGAGGTCTTTTCCAACCTAGTTGATTCTATTATTCTATGAACTGTTCAGTCTTGACACAGGAAATCATCCTTCCTGCATCGCTCCTCTGTCAGGGGCAGTGAGAAGGTGCTTGGCGAGGAGTTGCTGACCCACCCAGCCTCACCTGTTCTTCTGGACCAACCTGAATGCTACACAGCACTTGGCATCCCCAACAACATGTTCCTTAACCACCAGTTTTGCCTCAGAAGAGTTGAGTTGCCCGTTATCCCATGGGAATTCAGCCCTGCTGAAAGGCAAACCTCTTCCAGTCTGATCTTTTAATCTTGTGCAGTCCTCGTGTTCATTGCAGAGAAATTTTGCCTTCAGGAGCAGGATCTCAGACACTGTATAAATGTTTGATGGCTCTGACCACCTCTTCTGAGTTATTATTTTATTAAAAAATGAGATTTATTATGGTTCTGAATGTCTCAAACTCACCAACCTCACCAGTGCGGTGGGTTTTTGATCTCTCCTATTGGGTGCACCCAACAAATGTCACAGCCTTTAATAACACACTTCAATTAATCCTGGAATTCTGAATGTGCTATTATCTTCATTTTTCAGAGAGAGGTCACAGTGGTAAAGAAAGATCTGCACTTCTTGCACAGGGCTACTCCAGGAGTCTGTGGCAGACCAGGAAATTAATCTCTTAATCACTTTGCCAGTTTGACCCAGTGCTGGGGGCACAGACCTATGACTATCTCAGTTCTCTGGACTGAGGAAACTATTTCTGTTATCTGGGATGGCCTTCCCCACCTGCAGAACAGTTCTGAAGCCCTCTGTGTGGGTTTGGAGATGGCTGCTGAAAAGCACCATGTAGGGGCTGGACATCCCAACCAACAGCACACCTCTCCCAGTCTGCAGTGCACCACTTCCGTGGCAGTTTCCTTGCTCAGTGTCTGTAGGACAGAAATCCTGTTTGGATTCAAGGAATAAGGCATTCTGTTCTGTCTGGTCACCTGTCTGGATGGTAACAGCCAGTGGATTTGTCCTTCTTCCATCTACTGACTCAGGAAGTTCCTCTCCAACAACTTTTGGCTGTAAGCAAGGATAAAATCCCACCACACTTCCTCTCAGTAGGACCAGGTTCCTCCACCATTTACACTCAGAATGAGCTCAAAGATCACTGATACTCTTTCAGATCAATACATCTCTACCTGCCCTTTTTCTCCACAGGAGAAAAAAAGGTGTTTGAAAACTTGATGCCTACTTTAAACCACAATGAGATGACTTTGCAGGCTGTTTGTTCCTGGTTTGTTCCAAGAGCTGGGAGCTGGTGCTCCTGGGCTCTGATTCCAGCTGTTTATCAGCTTCTCTGTGCATCCATTCATGATCTCACACAACCAAATGTGCTGGTTTGAGCTGAAGTAGAGTTCACTTTCTTCACAGAGGCTAGTATGGGGCGATATTTGGGTTTTGTGCAGAACACAGAGTTGATAATGCAGAGATGTTTTTGTTCTTGCTGAGCAGAGCTTACACAGAGTCAAGGCCTTTGCTGCTTTCCATGCTGCCACACTGGCAAGGAAGTTGGGGGTGCATGGGAAATTGGGAGGAGACACAGCTGGGACAGGTGACCCAAACTGACCAAAGGGATATTCCATACCATAGGACATCATGCTCAGTATATAAGGTGGGAGGAAGAAGGAGGAAGGGGGGATATCTGGAGTGATGTTTTTAAAGGCAACTGAGTGTGAGAAAATATCAAAGTAAGTGATGCCCTTAGAAGTCAGGCACAAGTGCTGCTCTTAGAGGATGAGGGTTTGCTACGGACTCACAGGGTGATGACAGGATGGCCTGTACCCTTTCTTGGTAATCCTTCTCTGCTGACAGACTTGATTTGTACTCTTGCTGGTTCTCCTCTTCCTCAGCACCTCGGGCCCACTCTTGATAGGCAATTTGGGTCCTGAGCTGCTCTCCGTACTCCCTGGCTTCCTCTGCTTTTCTGGAAATGAAAAGCATGAACAAACACGAATAGGTTATTTATGAAGTGTGGGTGAAAAAACAAGCTTCATGATAATTGTTTAATCTGTCAGCATTCAAGCTTAGTCTGAAGAACCATTCAAAACTCCTTGCAGGTGTTAAGAATAACTACCGCTACTAACCAAATGCTGTGTGCTAACCTGATGTGCTTCAGAGAACTAACTGCAGTCTGTTGTATCTCTGTTATCTCACCACGAGCTGCAGTACTCACTCATAGCCCAGAAACCAACCACATCCTGGGCTGCATCCAAAGGAGTGTGGGCAGCAGGTGGAAGGAGGTGATTGTTGGGAAAGTTCTGCGCGGGGAAGCAAGTGGCCGACTCCGTGTGGGTGATACAGCAAGCTCCAACTTTACTGTCCGACAGGCTCTTTTTTATACAGTGCATGGCAAGCATATAGCTATCAATCATTTATAATTGGCTAAGCTCTAAAGATAGCATTCAGGTACTCTCCCTACTTGTGGTTACAGCTGTGAGGATTATCTCTTACTTTCTCAGGCTTGGCTGCATTCTTAGCTGTTTGTCTCAAACTTGTTTGTCTCACACTCAAGGACAACTTGCCCCTGTCATCTGCCAAGTTAAGTTGCCTTCTGCCCAGCTGAGTTACTCCCTATCTATATATAAGTTACAGTCTCCAGTGCCTTGCTTGTACACTGCATTCCCAGGTGCGTTCCCAGGGGACTGTGTCCTTGCTCTTTTTAGCCTTCCCCAGGTGCATTCCCAGGATTATGTCCCCGCTCTCTTAGCCATTCTCCAACAGGTGATTCTCCCTCTCTGCTCTGCTAAGGTCCCACTGGCAGTGCTGCACACAATTCTGGTGTCCCCAGCATCAGAAGGACATGGAACTGCTGGAGCAAGTCCAGAGGAGGCCACAAAGCTGATCAGAGACTGGAGCACCTTCTCTACAAGCACAGGCTGAGAGAGTTCAGGCTTTTCAGCCTGGAGAAGAGAAGGTTGTGTGGAGACCTCAGAGCAACCTGCCAGGAGCTGAAGGGGCTCCAGGGAAGCTGCAGAGGGGGGCAGGACAAGAGGCAATGGGTACAAACTGAAAGAGGGAAATTTAGACTAGCTGTTAGGCAGAAGTTTTCCCTGTTCTGGTGGTGAGACCCTGTCCCAGGTTGCCCGGGGAGGCTGTGGCTGCCCCAGCCCTGGCAGTGTTCATAGCCAGGTTGGATAAAACCTTAAGCAACCTGCTTTGGTAGGAGATGTCCCTAACCCCAGGGCAGGGGTTAGGGACTGAGTGATCTCTAAGACCCATTTCAACCCCTGAACATACTATGATACCACAGTTTTATAAAGCAGACTGCAAAAATGGTACTTAACAATCAAGAGGGCAAGAACAACTTCTTGTAATCAGAGTGCCTTCCTTGCCCTTCAGAGAGCTGGATGAGGGTCTCAGTCCTCTCCTGTCTCAGGCTCACTGCTGCAGCAGCCTGACTCCCATCCCCACTTTCCTGAGAAGAACTCCCTGCCTGGGGGGATGGCAACACTGCACTGAGATTCCTGGAAATGGCTGTCAGAAGAAATCAGTCTTCCATTCCACCTCAGGACACATGTATTGCTTTCACTTCCCTCTGGAGAAGCAGCAGAAGTCTGAGGTGTTCAGGCTCTATGGAGCAGGAGTAACACAGACACCTAAATGCCAACAACCTAGTCAAGACTTGTGTTCTAATTCTACAGGGCTGAGCCACAAACCCTTCCTGACACTGCTGAATGCCATCTTTGCTAAGTGGAGCGTATCCCACCTGGAGCCCACCCCCACCCCTTCAGAGGGGTGACACTTCTGCCACGGCCAGGAGATCGTTTCCAGTATCAGAGAACTCAACAGACACCAGCTCGGGAAGGCGCTGGTCCCGTGGACAGGAGTGGGATGGGGCAGGAATACAGAAAGGGAATTCAGCGCGATAAGGACTCGTGCCCAGGGGTTCCCATGACACCCAGAGGCACATTCCAGCTACTGCGGGTAAGGATATCCTCACCCTGGGGCTCTGTGCGGCAGGAGAGCCCCGTGCAGCTCGCTGACGTGCTGCAGTCTGGTATTTTGGTGTCCGGATGTTGAAGGGATGTGTGTGGGTGGAGTTTAGCAATGAGCCTCAACACACTTGTTCTCCTGGGCAAGGTACGAAACAACCTTTCATTAACCCTCCTCCCCAAGCCAGGATGAGGGGATGTATTTAATAAACAAGATATTCCAGGATGGTCCAAAGAGGCCAAAACAAGGATGTGCACCATTATTTGTATGCTGAGATTAGAACCACTGATTTAATACCAGCTGCAGTACTACAGAGCTTCTACTGAGCAGTTTGAACTGAGGAGCTGTGTGGTGGGACTGCCTCTCTGAACAAAATAAGGCCCACCCAGTGCTCCTGGAGTTAGCAGAAAATGGAAATTAGCCTCCTCACAAGTTTAAATGGTTGGTCTGCAATGAAATAAACCAGTGGTACGAAAGGAAAAATACCTTGCACGCTTTTCTTCTTCCCAAAGTTTTAACTCTGCAATTGCTTCAGCTAGTAACTTCCTCTCTTCAGCAATTTCTATTTGCTCCTCTGTGTGTTCCTGCACTGAAAAACAAAAACCAAAAGCACCCTTAGGAGACAACAGCAGTGCTAAGCTTTAAGGGACAGTGAGGCTGCATTCAAGCCCAGTAGCCTACTCAGCAAGCCTCAGCTTTGCTGCTTCTGAAGGGGCACACAAAGAACAGCAAGTATAACTCTCAGCTTGTTTGTTTCTCATCCACTCAGAACTGGGAAGATTTCACACTCAGAACTTCACAATAATGTAATTAACAGTAATGACTGCTTGCTCATGTAATCCTCACTTTGCCAGGCTTTGCCCTGGTGACAGCAATGGGAAATTAGTGTCAGG